GTGCCTCTGTCTCCTCATGGCCTTTCACTGATGTGACTCTCAAGGTCCTTTTCTTCCTCAGCAGCCTCTTCATGTCCCACAATTCTCCTGGACTATGTTCTGTCAGAGGACGCAGCCACTCCAACAACTCACTTCACTATCATCGTGTTACTCCTTTAGATGAACTTCTCTTCCAAAGTTTTCTGAAAAGAGTTCATAATCCAAAGGAGTATCCATGGTTCCATAAATTCCACAGATTCCCTGCTGTGTTGGGCAGGCGAGGTTTAGGGAGGAGATTGTCAGCCTGTCTCAGGTCCCTCCCACCGGCCACCACTTCATCTGCAGACACATAGGGAAGCCCTGGGTACACGTCAATGGGAAGCCTGGCTCTTACTTGAGGAAGACATTTTGTTGTTTTTGAAAAGGTTGGGATTGGATGATGAGCTCTCTATCAGCAAAATATCATGATGTTTCTTGAAGATTTGTCTACTTATTATTTTTTAAAAAATATAGTGCGCTTTAGTCCATGTTGTTCCTGTCTCTTTTTCTGTTCCCTCTTCGCATAGGAGGCACATAGTTGCTCCTTGTCCCTTGCGCCATAGCTACCATGTTGTCACTTGGTGTCACCCTGTGTGCACTCTGTTCTCACCCCCAAAAGCCACCAGAGGTATAAGTAGTGATTATTTCTCCAGAAATGTCTTGAAGGTGGTATAAGAACTCTATGACAAGAAAGGTGTTGCTTCCTGGATGAAGGGAAGAATTTGGAAGGGTTGGGGAGGGGTTCAGGGTTGGAGGGCAAAATTCATTCAGCCTTTTGTCTCTTCTATGAAATCACTGATGAAGCATCTTCTTATGTGCAAAGAATGGAGCATGTAAATTAAATATTTCCCAACTATGTATGGCGTTAGACCTCTAAATATGGAGCATCCATATCAAAGGGAATGCACTTTATTTTAAAAATCATCACTCTGAGGAGATTCAGAAATGAAGAGAGATGATTCTAAGTAAAAGATTTTGAATATTACTTAAAGAGGGGAAGTAAGAAAGATTTTACAATTTTCTTGGTTCTGTGGACCCCTTTGGCAATAGCTAAATAGCTAATCAATAGATTTACTCTCAACTTTTCCATTTCCTTCCTTTTTTCCTTCTTTCTTTCCTTTCTTCCCTCCTTCATCTTTTTTCTGTTCCATCTCTTTATTTTCAGTTGTAAATTTTTAATTTTCAGTTGTAAACTCAGTAAAGCCATAAGCATGCACTCACACACACAACCGGTTATTGACAGTTATTCAGGTTATTCAGGTTTTTTTCACTGCTTTGGAAAGTTACATTTTCTGTGTGAGAACCATGTCGGAACCATAGGATATTATTAATGATATTTTTCTACTTATCTGAAACACTTCAAAATAAAATACTGCTAACAAAGGAGCTTATTTCTTACCGATCAATGATGTATACTATAGACAATATGGTCGTAGAGGAGTTTCAATGATTATTTTTGTTATTAATCACTATAATTACTCTCTGATTACAATGATTAACTCAACACAAATAAGGTGCGTGCTTGTGTTGTTTATCTAGTATTTACGAAGGATTTATGTTCATCCATACACAGAGTCTCACCTCGCCCTTATGTAGCTAAGAGACTCTAGTCTCTGTAGCCTATGGCCACAAAATCACTTGCACACTGGAGAATAAAGCCTGTGGTTTCCCTTACATTATCGCTAGGCTATAACCTCTTAAACTCCCGAAGTCAGTGATAATTAATTGAGTATTCTAAAACTTGACTGTGTATGCATACATCCTTCTTATAATAAGCACTGTCTGTGCTGTTTTTTATGACTTTCCTGAAGAGTCAGTTCAAGCCATTTTTCGTATCTTAAGCTGTATCATTTAGTGCTTGAAACTCAAGTACAACTTGAGAATGATTTTTGGCTTCTCACCAGTACTGGGTGAACCGTATCATTTCCCAATTCACATAAAAATAATTAAAATAAATGAACTACTTAAGTGCAATTGTATCAGACAACAAATAAAAATAGACATATAGCATCTGTAGCTGCATCCATATGCTCCCTTTGAACTCTCAGCACCTGAGATTGCTAAGTGCTAGTTTCTTGCTGCTGTAGCGCAGGAGAACTGGCCTGCTTGAAGAGGAGAAGGCTCCCGTGAGGACTGAACAGTCTAGCACAGAGGACAGTTTATCAGAGTGCCTCAGATCCACCCAGATTCCTGGGCCCCACCGCCGGCCCCTTGAGACACAACCTCAGGGCTCTGCATTTAACGAGCTCCTTGCGTTTCTTCTGTACATTTTGTTTGCAAGCCACTGCCTTAGGGTAAGAGTCAGCCTGAGATCTGCAAAGTCCTTCTAGTTCCCTAACTTTACCTTTTCTCCATTATTTGTTCCTGTTCTTTCAACTAATCTTAACAAGTTTTATGGATTAAATTAGTGAACACCTTTCGGAAAACTAAGATTGAGATTTCAAAATGATATGAATATTTCCACTGCCTGTCTTAGTTCCTATTATAAACAAGCAAAACAGACAGCACATATATTCTGCCCATTGTAATTAGAAAATGGATTCAGTGGTATGGGGACCTAATTGTCTCACATTTCTGTACAACTCTTATCTTTACTTATCTGAGGGGTAGCGCTTATCTTTTCTTGGATGGAATATGTTCCTTGTATTCTGGTATCTCAGCAAGACCTGTAAAATGGGCCTCAGATCCAGGGACCTTTACCATTAGTGACAACTGACCCACAAGCACGTGTGTGCCTCAGTGACTGCCAGCTCCTTGGAGCCTAGATCCTGCAAGCAGGACTAGCACTGTTCACGATCACTTAAGAAATGTGGCTTTTCACTAAAGACACTTTCAGTCAACACAAATGTTCCTTATGACCTCAGTAATTACCTCTGTCTGCAGAGCAGTTGTAAGAGGCCTTCACAACGTTGCCATCCCAGGCAACACGGTGATCCATATTTCCAACCTTTTAACCTCTCTCCATACCCAGCTGCTGCCGTTAACCTCTCTTGGATCCAGATATTTTTAACACTTCAGATTAGAGATTCTCTGATGTGCCTGTTTCTTGTTCCAAAGTTTTTCTGACATGAACAAACATTCTCAGGCTGGCTTATGGCAGTGAGTGTGGTGAATATTTTTTTCACTTAAAAATTTTTTCTCCCATTTTATAAAACAGAAAACATTAAATGACCATTAAGTCCTTTGTGTCAACTCAGCCTTACGGAGCATACTGAAAAGTTCAAAGCTATGTGTGATAATATAATTTTGAGGGGGAGACATTTCATGTTTTGTTACCAGGGTACCCAAGTGGCAAAAATATGGCCAGCTGGTCAGTTGTGTATTAAAAAGTGATTTTGTTTTACCCACTGATTTCACAGGCTAAATACTGGTGTTAGTTTTAATTATTTGGAATGTCGACATGGCAGGCTACTTGTAGCAGTAGCGAGAGCACAGGGCATGCCATTGCAGGCAGGAACCCGCCAATATGGTCCAGAATCCTTTTGAGACTTCACAGGAAGCAGAGGGCACAGCTTCTATTGGATAACTAAAACTTCCTTCCCTATGGTTTACACATGGCCCAGCAGAGTCTCATCCCTTTAGTAGCTTCCCAGAGGTTACATGACTTGTTTCCAGTCACAAAATTACTAAGCAGTGAAACAGAGTCTACGACTCAGAGCTGCCTACTCCTGCTCTGGTTCTCTTTGGACAGCACCCTTCAACTCTAAAGAGAAGACGTTTATGATCCTTCAAAGGCACACGAGGGATAAGTCATTCACTTTCAACAACATCCCTTTGAGATGCAGCGAGATGACTGAATTTATTTGACTCTTGTGATTTTTGCATATTCTGCTTTGACACCTCTGTCTTTCACAATTGTTAGAAATGGATATTATTTACTGATTATTTTGCTTGCAATTGATTTGCATACTGTTATTGCCTATTGTTAAATGGTTTGCTGATTAATGACTAATGTTGATTTGGACTAAATGTAATAGAATAAGCAAATACATTTGTCAATTTAGATATACAATTTAGTTCCTAAATGGTATCATAGAGCTGTTGGAGATTATTTTAGGTGGATCCCTTGTAGGGAAACCCTTGTCCACAATTTTCTCCTGTATCCTAAATCAAGGTTTTAAGCTCCCCACCCTCTTTTCTTTTATTCATTTGCTTCTTACAGCAAATATAGCTCCAAAGTCCAGGGTTAAGATAAACATTTTAAAATTCAGAATGTGATAGATATCTTCTAAACAATTTCTTTGCTGGAGGGTCAGAAAAGAATTAAGTATTTCGTTTGAATGGATTTTCATGACTTTGACCGAATCAGTATGTTGTGCAGCATTGTCAACAAATTATATTATAGCAAGATAAAATATTCCTATAATTAATAATTATTTGAATAAATATCAGATATTTATATTAATACAGGTTTATTGAGTCATAGAATTTCAGAGCTCTTAGGAATCACTTGCTGATGAGGCCTCTGGGGTCCAGAGAGGTTTGGTAATTAACACACACACAGAAGCTAGCTAGTTGTTGAGTCGGTTATACGACTGTTCTATGAACAGTTATATGAACTGTTTAATGTATTCTGCACTTGAGTACTACACTTCTACGCTTGTGCTTATGCTTCGGTATGTTTGGTATTTTTAATTATCACCTAATAATTAAAAAAATTTTCAATCTGAACTTTTGATTGCTGCGTGCATTTTCCAAACATATATCACTGCCATTGATTATTTTTTATTTCTACTGTTTCATGTACAATAGAAATTTTTTCAGTTTGGAAATTAGTTTGAGTGGTAAAGAGAATCTAAAAAAGAATTTATACAATAGATATTTTAATGTGTTTATGCTCTTGTTTTTAAACTACATTTTAATATGCTTTCATAAAACTGCGCATTTCTCTAATAAAGTGTTTAAGTTTGGTAACTGAAAATGGTTCTCCAGAGGAATGTAACTCACATTAATTTTCCGTGTGCTCCTTTTTTTACTTATAGTTTGACAATCCACATGTTTAAAGTCTAACAGAAAGAAAAAAATCACTGGATGTGAAGTTGGGAGCCAGAGCTGAGTCTGCATCTGTGTCCTCGTGTTGGTGACCTTGGGTAAATTTCATTTTTGTGCTTCTGTTTCAATTTCTTTAAAATGAGGAATTGAAAGCTTCAAAGACTGTTTCCCACAAAGAAAAGACTCCATGAGCTCAAAAGAAGATTTGGTTGAAAGAAATGTGTGGGCATCGTTACCTGGCTGCTCAGTATTTTCATGGACGCACACTTGTTACATGCATCTGAAGTTCCTTTAAGGAAATTAACTCTTTGTAGGTGTGAGATATGGACATGGACAGAAGTGGATAAATAAGAAAAGGAAGGGGAAATAAGTTGATGACAAAGGAGAAATTGTAGGCGGTCAAAATGATTCCCCTTTTGCTTCTTTATATCTACAGTCTAGTTATTCCTATTTGCAAACCTACTGGCACCAGGTATCATCAACAGGGATGAGTAATATGTAATTTTTATCTTTACTGGGTTACATTTGGCCTACAGACAGTTGACAGCTGTCAGTCATGTGGCTGGTCAATGAGGAGATATGTATAAAGCTGCCAAAATATTTTGTTTCTTTAAATACTTACAAGTAAACCATTTTAACTGGAAACTTCTTTGTCCTGATATTAAGTAGGTTGATATTCACAATATAGTTTATTGAAGTTAGTTACAGGGGGAATCAAGATTTTCCCAATGAATGTGTAAGGTAAACAAAATGTTTATCAAATGTCTTTCTGAAACAGGAGAAAACTCAATTTTTCTCCGCTATAAATAACCTGTACTTAAGATATGAAGATGTATTGCAAATGATGCTTAAAATGCGTATGTTTTAAGATTAAACTGTTAGGGCCCGTATGAGTCATTGCAACTTTAAGCCATAATTTCTGTAGAATTAGTAAAAGAAACCATTCCCATACAATGAAGGAGGTATTTTTGTGGCACAGAAGTTGAAGTTTTATCAGAAAGGACAAATATAGCTGCATGTCAAACTAAGTATTCAAGCTTTTCATAATTAAAAGAAAAAAATCATAGAGTTTTGGATTAAGCCCACAATGCAGGGCATAGTTGAAATGATAAATTTTAGTTATTTAGAAGTATTTGGGTTGTAACTAACATTGTTTCGAATGGGTTCAGTCACACTGAACTCATTCACGAGTCATAAAAAATAGTTTGGAAGAAGCTTTTGTATTGCTTATACTTAGTGTTAATGACAAACTATGTAATAATTAAAGTCAAGAGTAACGCGCATAAAAACTTAAAAGTATAATTCTGAAGTTGACTTGAGTGTACGTTCAGTTTCGCAGTAGTTAGTCATTTTGAAAAGCAAGTGCTCTGATTCTTTAGGGTTATAGTATTTAACACACTAGATAAATAAAAAATTATCAAGTGCATGGAATACAAACTCAGTCTTTAAGAGACAAGTTATCTAAAAATTCAGTGACCCTGGTTACTCGGGTGCGAGAATCAATGTAATGAAGATGACGAAATATCACACAAAAATAGCAGTTTAAAACTACAATATATTCCTTTTTAATAAATACAATATACTTTCATTTTCTGAACCGTATTCTACATGTCATAATTTCTAATGAAAATCAGATTTGGGTTTTAATTTTTTAAAATATGAGTCCGTTAAAATGTAGATAAGATTGTGTTTTAAAAATATTAGTTTTTTTGGTTGGGTGGATCATTTCTGGTAATTTTTAAATCAGAAATATTTCATAATTTTAAACAACAATTAAGTCAGTCTAAAAGAATATGATACTTATAAATGTGTAGCATATCTATGTCATCACTGATTTGAAAATTGTTTTAGATGAGGTGGTCATTAAAAAAAGTCAGATCTTATTATTTTCCCACTAAACAATTATGTATTAAGCATGTAGATTGAAAATTATTTATGGGATCATCAGACTAAAACAATTGCCTCGTAGTATTAGTAATTTATATTGGTAGGAGCCTTTCTCTTCTTAAGTACCAGTGCTACCCCCCACAGCCCAGAAAATTGATTTTATGCATAATAATTTATAGCATTCTTGATCAATGTATGCTGTGTGTCTTTTACATTCATTAGCCCGTGTTGCTTGTGAATATGGTATTTGGTTATTAAAATGGTTTCATATGTTTACTATGTATAGTTCCTAGCTTTGAGCTCCTTACTTGTTTAAATAAATGTTTTCAATTTGTTATAATACAACAATTTGTAGAGAAATGCTGTGAAGTATAGTTAAAAGAATGAGTCCTTGAAATAGAATTACTTTTTAAAAATATGTCCTAGCATGTGGTCTCACTTTTCCATGTTATGCATTAATTAAAATCCTATTCTGAACAAAATATTTTTGCCTAAACTTTTGAATTCACAAAATAAAAACACCAAATATATAAATGTACTAATTTTGGAAATCAATGACATGAAAACATACTTAGTACTATCTTGGTTATTTATCCCAAAGATTTTTCTCTAAAGAAACTCTTTGCAAAGTTATGAGAAAATTTCACCACTTTTAGTTATTAAATATTCTGTGCAATACGTTTTAAAATATATATTAAAAATAAAATTAATTTCATATTCTCTCTAAACATGTTCCTGTCCCATGCACACATAAAAAATAATAGCATATGAAACATTTGAAAAGAGCATGTACCATTTCACATTTTTATTTGGAGATTTATTGAAAAATAACATTTTGTTCATAATAGATTATGACAATTAGATAAAAAGAGGCAAAATGATATTTATGTGTTTATTTAAATAGTCTAGTATAATATATGTGATTAATTCTTCATCCTTCAGAGATTGAAGATAGTAATGAAAGAGATCAACATTAAAAATATAACATATTTCCTTTAAGAAACTTTTTTTAATAAATCTAAAAAATTGTCAAATGGTACCAGCTCTGCTTCTACAGAAGGCAAACCCACTGTTAGGTTATTTGGCTCTGATTCCAATGGTCTCATCAGCTTTCTGAATGCAGGTACCTCAGCAGTGCCTCTTCCAAGATAACAAAACCAACTTTTAGAAATTAAAAAATTTATTTTGGCAATTGAAACTCACCAGTGCCTTTCTGCTTCTCCAGGAAGTTGTACCCGTCAGCACCTGCTGAGGGCTTTGTTGTCCAAACTCTGACAGGTAAAAAAATTCCTGTAGAATAAAGCCAGACCAGCTGGCTTTGAAGAGAAACCCCCCAGTTTGGGCTGCGTTTGCCTCCTCTCCTTTTCTATGAAGACCCAGGCTTTCCCCCCTTGATCGTCAAGCCGTAAGATGCGTGATCCCTGTGCACAAGTGTCTGGCAGGCCGAGGTGCACCTGTTCCTGTCACTCTGGAGTAAATTTAGCTGTAAAGGTATCACTGACAACCAGACCTTTGTCAGTGCTGGCAAAAGAACACAGAATTGCTCCCCTCCCCTACCCCATTCCAAGCCCCTACACTGCTAGTTCATATGGAAAATCTCAAATCGGAAGTCTATCCAAAAATCGTTCCCCAAAAATGAGATTGCTTTCATATGGTAAAAAAGTAAGTTTCCTCATTTCACACAGACTTTAAAATTATATTTCCAAGAATAATCTTGGAACAAGACAAGTTTTTGTTCAATTAATGGTGGCTGGAAACTTCTTAATGGAAACATAGCACACACTTACTTCATTTCAGGTTATTAAATTGTGTTAAGCGTTAGAGTTGGTTGCCATTCTTTGCTGTAGCTCATTTGTTCTTTTTGATCCAAAGAAATATTAGAAGCTTAAAACTTATCACATAGGAGGGATTAATCACGCTACCAAAATTAGAAAGCATGTAGTTCTGAGAGACTGAATGTCCAAATTGGATGCTCATAGCACTTAAACTCTTGAGCATCTAGAATCCACTACAACATTTAAAATGGCAGCTGATGTCTGTGGGAACCCTGGATGTTTAGGAGCTGGCTAAAGCTAGAGTTCTCATACTCTTTGATTAAGGTAAGGGCAGTTGTCATTTATGTGACTATTTCAGATTAATTTCTTTATTGATGGTTTGAGAACAATTCCTTTTGAAAGAAAATAGAGAGGCAGGCAGCATTCATTGATATGTCTGACATCAATCTGGTCGTCAAGATACGTAAAGCAGTCCAGGGAGTAATGTGCTTAGCCAAAACATTCTGAGCTTCTGCTTAGTAATTATAATTTCTTAAGTGGTGTTAAAAGGAGTTGTGCACAGTACCTGATCTACCATATTATTGCTGTTTACAAGGGTTGGGTATGATGAGAAAAAGAAATCTGGATCAAAATCAAAAATGCTTTGTAAAATAAACAAAGTTCCTATTTACTTACTATGTATAAACAGCCACTCACCAAGCCTCATTTCTCCACAGGGCACCACTTTCAGATAAAAACATAGACCTGAATGGCATCATCCAGTATCCAAGGAAACCATGTAAGTACCTCTCTCACTGTGTACTTCTCTTATTCAGAGTTTAAAAGCTAGCTGAGTACTGAATAAGTGAGTGTTTTTATTTAATAATTATGCAGGAGGTACTTTTTAGGAGCTTGCTAAAAAGAAACAGGTTCTTGATTGTAACATGCGTCATAACAAAGCCCTTATGTTTTCATCATATTTCATAAAATTATGTTTAGTCCCAACCTTTCGATCAATTTTCGTTCTTAGGTACAAAGCAACTACTCAAAGTCCTAATGAATTGAGAATTTCCAACTTTTCCAAGACCCATTAGTGTCTGAGAAACAATGTTTCAGAGGCCTTACGCCAGGAGTAGTTACCTAATTGTAATAAAACTCTTCAAATTTTAAAAATTTAGAAAAAATTGCTTGGAAAATAATATTTTATTGATAAATATTTATAGCAATTTATTTGATGGTAGACTTGCTGGGGGAGTGAGCCAGTGAGCAAAGAGATGAGGTTACGTATTTAAACAATGCAAAGAATCTTGAAAGCAAGTGCAATTTCCAAGATGCAAAAATCTGCAGAAGGTTTGGGAGATGGGCATACTCTTTTCTTTCTTTCTTTTTTTTTTGCCCCCAAACTAGTGTACGTTTCTGTAGCTAATTTCAAGGTTTTAGCTAATTTTTAGGAACTATGGAATCTAATGTAGAAATTTAGTATCTAAACAACATGCTATTCTGGAGAAATATCCATTTCTAAAATATTTGGAATATTCCGTTAATTATTTCTTTACCTAGACTTTATTATTTTTTTCATATTTGCACCATCTACTCTTAACATCACATTATTTTCAATACTAAATGGTTATTCATTATTGTTTTCTTTTTCATGAAAATACTTAGAACCTTCTGTATACTCTTGTAATTATAGACCTCTTTTTTTACCATCTGGATCAACTATATGATTTATCTAGTCTTTAGATACAGACATAGTACTTTTCATCAAGGTTTTCAGGAGTTGCATTTAAATGCAACTGGCTTAGTTAGCCCTGTGGCTTGGGAGTTCTTTATATTTTTTTCATTTACTTTTGTTACTCTTATATTTCTGTCTTTCCTCTGCAGCGTGGTTCCTTGCTAAGCATAAAAGGTAAAGACATCTCTCTTTCATTTTCTCTGCTGAGTTAGAACCTTCATAGTCAATGTCTAACCGCAGGCAATTTTGTTTTCTCACATGACAAGTCAACTTGTACTATTTATGCGTTTCCATGTTTCTGTCTTTTTATATATGTTACAAAATGCATCTTTCTGAATTGAGAGATGAGAAGTTTGTGTTAGACTAAGGAATTTGCTGGAATTTTAGAAGGGTGTAAGAGTAACGGCCTCTTCACCTGGTAGAAGGGCCTGGCTAGGAAGTGATTTTTTTAATGGTTGTTAACAGACTTCACAACTGTGGCGTTTGAGGCCTGAAGTACTGCCCTCTAAAATAGGAATTCCTTGCCACAAAATAAAGGTTGGGCCATTGCTGGGTAAACTTGTCAGCAGAGCAGAGTTAGGATAGATCTTTATAAAGGAAGAAAATGCAAATCAAAGGGAAAGACTGGCTAATGTTCTAATTCCCTATCTTGAGGAAATAGAATCTTTTGAAATTTCATTCTTCCTGTAGCGAGAGGAAAAAGAAAATCTATGCTACAATGCTTCTGGCAGCATTTTAACTATTTACATTAGAATATAGATTTTCCAGAAAAGTCATTTAATTTTAATTCAACCTCTTAGAGAAATGAAAAATGGCTTGATAGAAATAGATTGATATATGCATATCCATTCGTCAGTAGTGGTCTCTCTAACAAAGACCATCATTATTGAGTCGAACTTTCTGTGATGATGGTCATGTTCTATATCTGCCCTGTCCAATGTGGTAACTGGTAGACACATGTGGCTACTGAGCACTTGAAATATGGCTACTGCAATGGAGAAACTCAATTTTGAATTCTGTTTAAATTTAATTAATTTAAATTTACGTAGACAACTTGTGACTAGTGGCTACTGTGCTAGTATTTTTCTTTCCTGAGAAATTAAAATACCCTTTTGCAAAGTGTTTCGAATCCTTTGGTGTTCCACCATATAATATGATTTTTTATATTTACGTTAATATTTGAATTATCATTGGAGTGGAATTTCTTTATAACATTTTCCCAGAGATGAATGTTTTTAATACTGTTGATGGGAAGACTTTATAACATTGTTTTATAAGCCTGGGGTAGTAACTTTGAAAATGGCCGTTATAAACAAGGCTGTGTCTAAAAAGAAAAACACTCTAATGAAAGTTCTAAGTATGGTGATAAATATTTTGGAAAGTTCAGTTGCAATTTCTGCAATACATCCTTGCAGATAATTCCCAAAATGTAACCAGCCTACCAAAACGCTCACTAGCCTTAATTCCCCCAAGCTGATTCTGCTCCTGAAGCACACATCAGATTTGAAAACTGCTCCCATGGGCTTTATAGGCATGTAGTGAAAATTAACATTAGGATGCGTAATGATATTTTAATAATATTACTAGTGCAGTAATATTGTAGCCAGACTAATTACCTAAATAAAACCTGAGAATTAAAAATTTACATTGATTTTTTTAAAAGTCAGTAAATCAACTTTTTTTTTTTTTTAAAGATTTTTTTTTTTTCCTTTTTCTCCCCAAAGCCCCCCCCGGTACATAGTTGTATATTCTTCGTTGTGGGTCCTTCTAGTTGTGGCATGTGGCACGCCGCCCCAGCGTGGCCTGACGAGCAGTGCCATGTCTGCGCCCAGGACTCGAACCAATGAAACTCTGGGCCGCCTGCATCAGAGCATGCGAACTTAACCACTCGGCCATGGGGCCAGTCCCCATGAGGAATTTTTTAAATCGGAGATATAACACTAATCTTCTTAGCAACTCCATTTATTGGATGTGGGCATATCCTTTTGGATGGGTAGGATTTGGGTAAGTTAAGAAGAGAAAGCAGACTTCTTTTGGCAGAAACTTAGACAAGCTACTGAGTGTCCCTCCGACTGCAAAACAACCAGATTCTAGATAAAATATACTTTCTAATGAATTATTTGACTTGAGAAAAATTTTGGACATCTCCAAAGATTCCTCTCCCTAACTTCAAAGCCAAAAAAACTAAAAAGTGTGAATGGAAAGTGGAGTTGAGAGCAAGAAGCAAACAGGATATGTGGGAATGGCAAAACTGACTTGGAGGAATTGTATCGCAAGGATGCTGTTGGAAGAATAGCAGTCATGCGCTCTCTTAGACTTCTCATAAACCCAGCCTTATTAAAAGAACAGGAAGAAGTAACAACCACATTTAGAGACCCAGTTTTGGTCCTCTTTGATGTCTTTTGGTGTCTTCAATTAGGTAGTCAACCACTTACATTCTGCCAGATTTATTTTCAGAAAAAAGATCTATCCTTGCTTAAAAGCCAGTGTTCTGTATGGAGAAAACAGGTCCTCCGTTAAGAGAATCCTACAAATCAAGTCTTCAGTGTCCTTGTAATATATCATCTGTACTATCTCTATGTCTGAGAAATTGTTTTCCTTCAGAAACGTGGGCTGTGACCTCTGAGTCCTTAATCACTGCCTCAATTTATTATGTATTTATGTATTTTTAAGTTTATTTATCCAAATTTTTGTTATGAAAATTCCAAACATATTAAAAAATAGAGAGAATAGTGTAATGAACTTCCATACAACTACACTTACCTTTGACAGCTGTCATCTTATGGGCGATTTTGTTTCATCATCTCCCATTTCTGCTTCCCACCCCCATCCAAAATTATTTTGAAGCCAATCCCAGATATAGCATCATTTCATCCTTTAATATTTCAGTAAGTATCTTTAAAAGATTAGGACTTGTTTTTTAACTGGAAAAATGAACCACTCTAAAAAATGAACCACACCTAAAAAGTCAATATTTCCTTATTGTTATCAAATGTGTACAATCAATAGTCAAATTTTCCTAATTGTTTCATAAATTTTTATAAATGCTTTTTACTGTTTCAAACAGAATACAAATAAGACCCATACATTGCAATTGGTTGATATTTCTCTTCTCTTTTAATCTACAGGTTTCCCCTGTATTTATTTTTCCTTGTTTGTTGAGGAAATTGGATTGCTTGTGCTGTAGAGCTTTCTATAGTTTGTATTTGCTGATGCGTTCCTGTGGAATTGTTTAATAAGCTCCTCTGTCCCGTATCTTTTCTACTAATTGGTAATTAAGACTAGGAACTTGACCAAAGTCATTCGGAGAAAGCTGGGCAAGACGTCTGGTTCCCTCTCTTTTTCTGGTGTTAACAGGTATTGATCTTTGCTTAGACCCATTTATTAGGGTTAGGGAGTACCCACAGCCTTGGGCAGTTTCTTCCCAGGTTTGCCCACATCAGAACTCTGCTAAATTCTTTAGTGAGACTCTTTGCAAATCTCAGGAGATCTTTCTCTTTGCAGCAGCTCTTGCCAGGTGCTCTGTCCTGTGACCTGTAGCCGCCTCCTTCTCCTGTACTTTCAGTTCTATTTCCTCAACTCGGGGAGTTTGCCTCTTTTGGGTTACCTCCCCCGCCTCTTCTTGAGTTACCCTTCTTGGATCGCTGCTGAGAAATCCTGAAGACAGTAAGCGGGGAAATCATAAGATTCTCCTCCTTGGCTTCTCATCTCTCAGGGATCACTGCTTTTTGTTGCCTTATGTCCCATATCTTAAAAATTATTGTTTCATGTAGTTTGTCAGAGTTTTGTTATTGTTGTTACTGTTTTAGGAAGGAGGTTACATCCAGCCCGTCTTAGTCCATTTTGGCTAGAGTAGGAAGTCTCCCCAGTTGCTTGTAAAAAAAAGTTCAGCTATAGCTTATTAACCAAAACAACATCTTCATATGAAGCTCAGTATTTAAAACAAACTAAAAAATATTGTAATTGAAGTATGTGTCCTTTGAAACTCTGCTATAGTCTTAAAACTGCCAGTGCAACTTCCAGGACCTCCTGCTGACTTTTCCCCTCCCAACTAATTGTATTTCCCACAAGATGAGTCCTATTTTATTTTCTGTCGTTTCTGGCAATTTCGTGGTTCATTCATTCATTTCTTCAACGAATATTTTTGAATACTTGCTATACTATGTGTTGTATAAAGTGTTGGAGATAGTGATGAATAAGATAATATTTATCCCCTTAAAAACCTTGCAATTTATTTTCACACTCGAACTTGTACACGAATGCTCATAACAGCTTTATTACTAATAACCCCAAACTGGGAATACCCAAATGTCCATCAATGGATGCGTGGTTAAATAGACTGTGATATATCCTTGGTATGGAATACTATTCAGCAATAAAAACTAATGAACTGTTTCTATGGGCAACAACTTGGCTGAACCTCAAGGAAATTATGCTGAGTGAAAAAAGTTTGTCTTAAAAGGATACTGTATTGCTTATTTCCATTTATACACATTCATAAAGTAACATTATAGAGATGGAGGACAGATGAGTGGTTGCTAGGGGTGAGAGGGGAGGAGGGAGAGTAGGTGTGGACACAGAAGGGCAGCACTAGGGAGTCTTGTGGTGATGGCACGGTTAAGTGTCTTGATTGTGGCCGTGCTTGCTCAAAGCCACACATGTGATAGAGTTGCATACAGCTCTTCACACACACAAACAGCAATAAGTGCATGTACAATTGGTGAAACAGGAATAAGCTCTATGGATTATATCAATGTCAGTGACCTGGTTTTGATATTGTATTTATGTAAGATGCTAACACTGGGGGTTGGAAGTGGGGTGGGGGAAGTGTACACAGCGCAGTACGTTTCTTTGCACGTTCTTGTGAATTTTTAATTATTTCAAAATAAATTTTTTTCTTAATAATCTTGCAGTTTCGTGGAGGATATAAAGAACTAGGTAGCCAATTACAATACGTTGTAATAAAACTCAGTTAAGGGGAAGTACTGTAGAGTGTATGTATGGAGGAATACCTTGTTCCCGTTCTCAAGTCAAGAGACAAGGTCTCTACTACTGCCTTGTCTCCTAAACCTTCCCAGTCAGGTCCTGCTTCTGTTGGGAGGGCGTGTATGAGCAGTGGATTTGCAGGATGCTTGTGATTGACCCTCCCCCACCCCTACTCCAGTGTGATGTACCGTACTCATTAGGGCCTCGGGAAAATACCTTAACCATACAAGGCAAACATTTTATAAGAATGAGCACATATAAAGTAACAGGAGTCTGGTGTTCTCACAGCGTGTTCAAATGTAAGTTCAAAGAGCCATTCCAAATTTAAATATCAATGAGTTTTGGATTACACACAGCTTTGGCTCTTCTCCGGCCCGAACCTGCCATCAGCACCCGTCAGCCAAAGCTTTCCTCTGACCGGTTTAGAAATAGCCTTTGTATGTGAAGACTAACACATAGCTGCAGTGGGTTTTATACATACATTGTCACTTGTTACTGTAACTTATTTTAATTCAGTGACAGATTGTCACATATTTAGAGTTTTCGTAAGTTATAAAAGTTTTTTTTTTCCCTTTGGAACTAAGTAGAAAATGTATTATTTCTGATATGTTGGGGGACATATTTTGGTTTTGTTGGTATTTAGTAGGCAGTACTAGAAAAGCCAATCAATATAAATGTATGCTCTTGTCACATTGTGACAACTCAGTTGTCTTAGAATTTTTATTAGGCTGTGTCTAAATTTCACAAATCCTTGAATAGTATATTGCAACACATAAGCTGGAGATATTTTGATTTTATTTGTTGTTGTTACAAAAGCTCTCCCCTCCTCTCAGTCTCGGGAAGACCTCCTTGGGGTGTCCCTTGGACTAAGGAGGGTCTGAGTCTGTCCCTGTGTGTGTTAGGGAATACTCAAAGGACAGAAGACATTTGTAGAGTGTTAATCTGATGTGAGACTCCCTGAAATAGAATCTCAAGGTGTGTGTATAGGCAGCTTTGGTTTGTGTCA